ACCTCAAACTTCATCAAGAGCATTGGAGTCTGCTTTTTTTCTAATGCAATTTTCATTCCGCCTTAGCTCTCCCTGACACACCTGTGAAGTGTCACCAAATGCTGTATCACATCAACTTTCAAAAACTGCCAACTCTGCTAATGTCTGAGACCTCCTGATGTCACAGCCTTACAGGAGCTTGAAGTACACAAAAGCATAGCTTGAGTTTTACCACACACAGCAAAAGCACCTGTGCGGGTGGTTAGGGCAGAGGGTCTTGTTGACAGTCGTGAAATAAGACAAACAAAACCATTGAAATGAGATGTGCGGCAGGGGTGTTTGTGGAGCCTGTACATCCTTCTTCCCGAACTGCAGTGAGAGACCCCAGCCCCTTAAACTCCCTCGCAGAGCTATTTATCTAGAAAATTGTTCCTTCCATTCTCCCTACCCTCCTTTTTATCACGACAGAAATTTCCTCATAGCCTAGAATTCTAAGAGAAAATATTTCATCTATTATCAATTTCATAAACATCCACTCCCACCCACTGCCAAAAAAAAGAAACACCACTGGTAAATATTATTCAGGGTATGGTTTGTACTGGCTATTCAGCTCTGGGTACAGATGGCATTTATTGAAAAACTGGAATGTATCATGGTTTTTGGTTATACTATAGAGTAGTATAACCAAGTAATTGAGTATACAGGTCCTGCAGCCTCCATACCTGGTGCAAATCTTGCCTACTCCTCAGTGTTGTCATCAGACTTCACTTACTAAATTTATGACCTTAGGCCATAATGTACACATATCTACAAAGCATCTTGCCCTTTTCTATTGATATTCTGTAGTTTGAATCTATAGGTGTGTTGATCTATACATATTTTTCCAGGTCCTTATAATCTAAGGTGGATATATGTATATCCATCCATAACCAATGAGAAGGGTAATTTAGTCTTTGGACTAAAAAAACCACATACTGGCTAGCTTCAGTCTCATTTTGCACATAGTAGAATAAGACTAAAAGATAGCATGCAAAGGGCCATTGGGTTGCGAGATACCCCATGAAATAACATATGGAAATTATGGGCTTTAAGAATTGGTACTTTGGCATCCAAATCCACTGCAGTCAACAGTCTGTGCAAAAACACACACAAAAATAAGTCTTTTTTGCTTTTTGCTTCACCATTTTATATCAACATTAAAGAATGTTTCATTAAATTGGAGTAGATATTTTTAACCATTTTTCCCTTTGTAATAAAGGCAGCTTGGATTTAATATGTTACTTGTTCAAGTAACTTATTTTAAAAAGTACAATTTTTTGTATCTTTTTAAACCTTAGCAATTAATGGGAAAATAGAAAGTACAGCCAACAAAATTTTAAAATAATCTAAGAATTGTTAGTGTACAAGTAAAGGTATAATTTGTTCTCTTTGAATGTCTCAGTGCTTTCTCATCCTAAAACAATATAAACATCAGTTCCTTTGAGGTATGTCTACTTTTTACATCACACTAGAATATGTAAAAACTTTTTCTAAAACTGTTCATGTGTATTACTTCTTTTCTACTTATACTTTTATATAATCTAATTTATTGTAAGGTCTTTTACGTGGCTCAAGCCACAGCTCATTCAAAGATTCTAAACACATCCTTTACTACTTTGTATGGAGTATTTTGATCCATTTTTCTTTCTGAACTAATATGATTATGACAGTCTTGTTCTTGTTCCTCAGCAACAACAATTTGTGGGCAGAGTTATTATCAATTATACCTAAATATTCATCATGAAGGAGTTGAGATTTCTCAAAATTCAAAAGAAATATCTCTTAGAGCAAGGCTGAAATGTGGGCAATCTAAATAAGTTGGCATTTCAGGTTGGATAAAGACAAAATGCAATGTTTTTTTAAGAGGAAAGAAACTAGTTATAGCTAACAGGATAAAGCACATCATCAGTGCAGGTAATTTTACCAAAATGTCCTAAATGCCAGCATTCAATAGCAATTCTGGGACCCTGGGCCTTAATAACAACACCCAACACGTTGGAGGCTGCAGCAAAAACTAAGTAAGTAATATTGACCCCACCTCTACTTAAAATTGTGACATTTTGTTCATCATGTTTTTTGCATTGATTTTAAAATGCTGCATTAAAAGATTATCTTATTTACTGATTTTTTGACACCTCCTTAAATTCTACACCCAAAATAAGTGCCCACTAACCTCGACCTTTCTCTTAGCCCTGCTTAATAAGTAATCTCCCTGAACTTTAGTTACCTCATCTGTAAAACTGAGGGAATAATAATTCAAAGGATTATGAGGACCTAATGATATTGCATGTGTAAGTACTTGTTCATTGTAAACGTAAATGTATAAATACATTTACAAAGCTTTATGCAACTCCAAGATAAAGTTATTATATTAAACATTGTATTTAAAGATGTAAGGTTTATGGCAAGTTTAAGTCCCATGATTGATGACAGAAACTGAATCAGAGGGCTTAGAGAAATAGAATTTAAGACACACCTATTCCTACGAAACCTTATTTAAGAAAAAGGTACAGTAACAACCCAAGAAATCAATTTCCTTTCCAGGTTTCATAATTAATCTTCATTTGTAAATCCTGTTTGTCCTCAGATTCTCTTTACAGTTCCTAAAAACATTCAATTCACCAAAAATGAAAAATTAATTTAGGAAGAAACTCTTAAGACAAAACTTGCAGCTCAAACAACAGGTGAAAGCATACAAATATAAAAATTGTTTTTGAAGAAGTTGGGGATGTGAATCTCTTAGTTCAAGATGGGGGGTTGTTCTAGAGTGAAGGAAGGTGAGATGCCTCCTGTTCTCATGAGCTAATGATTGTTTCCAACTGGTTAGAATTCAGTGCTAATTGCATTTTAAAACACCACCTCTGAAATCTTTTTTCTCTCTCAGGATCTTGCATCAATGTTTCACATTTTCAATGCAACCTTTGCACGTCACCTTTCTCACTCAACAAATTCTGAATGTCAGATCTACTGGAAGAACTCAGTTCAGATCCTTCCTCTCCCAGCAGGTTTTGATCTGGTGGTGATGATGTCAATACCTAGGAAAGGCTGTCCTGCCCTGGTTCTGAGGGGAGAGAGAGACAATTAAAATCGGTACTTTGGTGACTCTACTCAGGCTTGTCCATTCTAACAGGGAGTCATTAAACAACTTTCCAGTGTCATTCAAAGAACTTTTAACAGAATCAATTGATTTTCATCCTCTGCTTTATTAGTTGTGATTTAGGAAATAGAATGGCCCTGTTTACACAGCTGTAACATGTCAGGGCCTGTAGTACATTATTGGCTTGAGGCCTCCGAGTTGCCGTCCATTCTCAGCAGAATCAATCTGAACTTGAAAATATTCCCTCTAGGAAAGATGCACGTATCTACTAGCATAAAGCACTTCTTGTACAACTGAAAACAGTATTCACTTGAGGTAAGTTGCAAGTTCACCTTCCAAAAATCAGCCCCCACTTGTCATTGCTCTCAGCATGTTCACTATGGGAGCAGAGGGCTACAAATGCCTCTTTAACTAGGTACCCAGCATCGGTGAATGTGTTACACTTTGCTGCTAGTCAGATCTCAGACTCTGCAAGTGGGAGTAGCTGGCTGTTTAACATGCGTTCAGAGCACTGCCAATCTAAAATGGCTGCTCAGTAATACTTTAATTGCAGTTTCATGGAAACAAATTGCTATTTAACTGCAATAAGCATTTCTGTGACTTGGCTGGACTAACAATAGGTGAGTCTTAGTAACAAAGCTACAAGTAACATTAACTTGTAAATGGCCTTTTTCCAATGGCCTCTTAAAGGAGTCATAGGTGGGACAGCACCCAGGACAGAACTCCCTGGTGAAGGGTGAAGGGGTCTTTGGGGTGAAGGGTGAAAGGATTTTTTGATTTCCTTAATTTAAATACAATTAGGCTACACAGAAACTCTTCACTAGACTCCATATGTAGATCTTGGGTTCACTGTTATATGATTTATGGGCCCTAAGAAATATTTTATATAAATAGTAGTACACATTAGAATCTTACTATATTGACATTTGAAGCCCTTTAAGGGCTTCATTTTAGATGCTCAGTTGTTTCAAATATCTGTTAATAAGGGCAAAAGAATTTAAACACAGCTAATGTTAAGAGGATGACAATTTCACAACTTCATTTTGGTGTGACAGTTTTCTCATTTTGTATTTTATAAGACACTACAGTCCAGGTTAAACTATTTCCTAATAAATCATGAAAGAGCTGAAAATAGTTTCTAGTGACAAACAATTTGGTTTGGAAAAGCTTCAGGCTCCCCTGCCTTGCGGGATGTGTAAATCTAACTAGACAGATAGGTAAAAAACATTAAACCCTTTTAGAGGACAATCTTTTTACAAAATTGTTTCATTAGCAAGAGTGACAATTTGCATGATTGAGACATTTAAATGTATCATAAACGTAATTTTTTTTATCGGTTCAGCAGGGCTAAGTAACATTTGCTTTTATTTTTAATTGCACTTGCTTGTAGGGACTGGGGGCCATCTTGCTCTATGACATGCTTAATATTAAGTAAATCCTTTCAAAAGAAGTGTCCATCTCGCTAACTAGTAACATCACAAATGCAATGGATGAAAGGTAGAATAAACTCACAGACTTTTTTTTTTTTTCCCTAAGCAATGTTGAGGTTGGGGGAGAAACTGCGCACAATCGCTGCTCACATCTGAATAAACCTGAGTGTTTTTAGTAGCTTTCCATCCACACAGAGCATCCCCATTAGAGCCGGGTTTTATTGTTTGAAATGCCTCTGGTTTCAAGAAAGTGTTTTACCTAAAGCAAGACTACTACTTAAATATGTTCTATTGTATATTCATAGCTCCATTAGTCCTTCTCCAATTTAGCACATCAAAGAGAAGGCTTCATCACTTGCATGTGGATTATACTAACATGAGTGACATTTGTAATCTTATAGGTCTGCAACTTAAGAAATGCTTTTAGAAGCTCATTATTAAATACACAGCAGTGCTTGAGGAACCAGCCATATAATAGTTTATTTAAAGTCTGTAATGACCTTAGCCCTCCACATCACTAAATGCCACAATATATTATTTACTAAAATTATTAACCACCTCCTTTGAATTTCTACACTATCAGGGACATGAGTGCTCATGCCAAAAAGAATATAGAAAATGCCTGCCATCTCATTAACATATTTCCCCCTTTACCATCCCAGTCTAACTTCCTTGAGAAAGTTTCTTAAAGGAAAAAAACAAAAACAAAAACAAATGTAAGAACCAGAACTAGCTTGAAGAAATTCCCCAAGGATCTAATTCAGAGAGACATCTAATTCAAACAGATATATATGTGATTTCTTCATATTATTTCCTTGCATTTTGTTTTTATAACGTTCTAACAAAACTATTCACTTCAACTCTGCCTTTACAATCTCCTCCAGGTTTGAGGTTCAAGCAACTGATTTTTTTCCCCCCTGCCCTGGAATCTCTGAAAACAGGAAGTGAGCACATTTCTCAAAGGGAAGCTGACTGGTAGTTGAGATGTGCTGGGCTAGACCTCTCTACATGGCTCCATGGCTATTCTGAGAGGGAGGGTCTACACCAGGCGCTTTTCTGGAACAAAATAAATGCCATCTTAAAAAAGAAAATTTTAAATACTAGTGTTCACACACCTGGTTTTATTAGTCTGTGATGGAAGTTATAGTTGAAATTTGCTCACATCTAAGGAAGCTGGCAGTACAACCTCAGCCTGCAGGCCTATTTGGTTTTCCTCCTTCTAGCACTAGCTGTGTTATACCCACATGCTTTCCGGAGGGCAGCTCTGCGGGCAGTGCAGGCGCTGTCGTGGACATTCTGCTGCCTGCAACCAGCAACTCAGTATCTCAAGACTAAGACTAAATGAAGTCAGAATCTTCCCCCAAAATACATACAGAAAGGCAGAGTCAGTAAAGAAGTCTAGGAGCAAAACAAAATAAACATATCTTATAGCCGACCACACGAGCCTAAAGGTCACCAGGAAACAGCTACTTCACCCATCAAAGATCACTATAAAAGAACTCTGGGTCCCTACAACTAGGTGAGTTTCAAAATATGTACAGTTATGACTTAGAAATTGTGACTTCCTTCAAAAGCTATAAACTTGGTAAGAGAGCAGGATGGTGTGTCATATATATATATATATATATATTTTTTTTTACATACTTTTCATCAATACCCAAGGCTTTGCTATTGAGAAAAAGAATAAACAAAATAGTGGATACTCAAGTATTTATATATAAACACAAAAGACTTACTGTGATCTAGAAGTGTAACGAAATGCTGTTAACAGAATATTCTTGACTTATAGAAAGGACTCTGTTAGAAACTTTGCTTTGTACCCCTGCCAATAATGGATGGCGTGGTTAAGTAATTTGAAGAATATCTTACTGGTCCAGAGCTAAATAAATATACCACCTCCCTCAACTCCTTCAAATTTAAAGTGAGCTTGTTATTCAACAATAAAAACTGAATGTTTCCAAAATACAGAAAAGAAAAAGCAGTGTTTAAACCCAAACACCATTAAATATTTTTTCTTTTAAGTTTTTATTATTTAAATACACCATACTAGAGCAAATGTCTCTGAAAATATCACAAATAAAAGATTTTTTTTTTCTTCATTCAGCAAATTAGAAGTGGGGGAATTTTCTACACAGTAGCTGCTATGAGCCTGATTTTTTTATCCAATTTTTTTTTCTTTTTTTCATTCTTTTTTTTTTTCTTTGCCATGGGAGTAGCAACATTAGGACAAAACACTTACATGCATACATACATTGTATTTTACAGAGATACAATAAGTGTTTGTGATAGAGTATCACAAAAGCCACATCTCTTTCCTTTATCTCATGTTCAGTTTTGATTGAAACACGTTTCCTTACAACACTTAAATATACAAAGAGCAAATAGAATGTTGTTAAGGTAAAACACAGGGTACAAACTCTGGCCAGTGCCCTGCTAATTGTTAATGAGGGTAGAAAGCAGATTTGAATGCTTCTTTTAATTAGCTTCATTAGTCATTTCCCTCCCCCCCCAGCTCCCTCCCCCCCCCCAAGATGTCCTCTGGTGGATCTTTTTTCATTTTCTCTACAGTCTCCCATTAGCCCAGGTTCATGGAGTCCTTAATGTTCATATTCAGTCATTTTAATACACCAATAAATGCGGGAAGGGCAATCAAGACTAAAGAAGGTGCAATGGCATGGAGCTGGCACTGGTGCTAGCTACAAAGGTGACTTGTCTACTGAAGACACATGGGATCCACCTGTGATGAACAAATCTGAGATGAAGGCACGCATTCTGCATTACTCTGACCTTTTAGCAGACCTGCAAGAAATAAAAACGGGCATCTTAGCTAAAATGCTAAATTTGAGAGATATTAAACTCAAATATGACTGCTTTTGTCTTCCCCACATTCGCTAATCTTGTATTAGATTACTTTCCAACAGTGACTTGATAGAGGCTTTCTATGCTACTTACTCTGGCAGTGAAGAACTAAAGCATAACATTTTCTGCAGTTTTACTAGCAAAGAAAATGAGACAGAAAATGGACACTCAGAAAGTTTCTGGTGTAAAGTACTACAATTAATTGCTTAACTCTGTTAAGAGAAAGTGTCTTTCCAAAAGGAATGTAACATCTTGCCCAGCAGTGGGATCTTGAATTTTTTAAATAGCGGGGACATTCCAAGACAAGTTCCTACCCGGGAAGTTTGGGGTTAATAAACTCAACCGTGTAACCTTTAGGAATGTTGCTTAAACTGCTTGTGTTTCAGTTTCCTCATCTTTAAAGAAGGGATAATGACGCTGTTATGATAATTACATAATACATACGGGAGCACTTTCAACAGTGCTTGACCCTTAATAAAAACCTCAACGAATAATGGCAGTTATCATTATTATTTTGATATCCCCATGTGAAAAATATTCACCCATTTGGTACTACCTATAGGTGTATGTGTGTCTGTATGAAAATTTCTATGTACAAATATTCACATATTTTTCACTATTTCCTATCTGCTATGTCACTTAATAGTTACACAAATATGTGAATCAATACATGTAATGTGTTAATGACTTGTGATAGAAAAAAGAACATAGTTCAATGCAAGGGTAGCTTCAATGTCTAAGTCAGAAATGGAAATCCACACACTTGTCAAATACAATCTGTTTGCAATTACCAAAATGAAATAATATATATTAGGTTTTTATGGTTTTTAAATGACATTTTGAGCTTCCCAGAAGTTCTCATTTCACTCTTTCCCTAACTTACAAAAAGCCTGTAGTCTATTAGGAACTGCAACCCCCCACTTCTAAGCTAATTAAAGTGGTGGAGGCTTAATTCCCCAGAGTGGAAGCTCAGTGTGAGAAAGGTAATTTGTCTGTCCAGAACAAAGATGCGGCAGCAGCCAGCAAGCATATTTAATAAATGAGCATCAAATGTCCTCTACGATGGACACACACAACACCAATTATGTAACTATGGGGGAACTGCGAAGTGACATGTCAACTAGAACACTCACTAAATTTTCCTCCAACTAAAGAGATGTGATCTAACTCCGTTCCACTGAAAAGCACAGATAATTCTAGATGGTACCATCACACTTTTGAGTGGAAGAAAAAAATTCCAGAACAGGCAGCAATCTACAAAAGAAAAAATTAGCCACAATTCCTGATTCACATAACCCTCTAGAAGGCAGTATTCTCCCGAAGCTAGCCAAGCCTCCTTTAAGTGATATACGTTACAAAATGTTGTAGATCCTTGAAAACTAGTGGCCTGAGATTTCGGTCCATCTGAAATGCAAGACTTCAATCACTGTATGATTTAAAAGCTTAAAATTATTTTTCTTGGAATATACAACAGCCAATGATGCAGAACAACCACTACACAGCCCAGACCCTGGGAACAAATCTCCGAATAAAAGTTTAAAGGGACCAGACAATGGGGGCCTATATTTTCCATGCAATTAACTGCCTTTAAAGAAGGGATGTTCGAATAATCAACTCATTGCTTTTAAGCCAGAGGATGCTTGAGTGTATTTACCACGCATAATACACCAAAAATGTAATTGATTCTGCGAATAGAAGGAAAACGGCCAAAATAAATGTCCAATTTTCCCTACCAAAAATATGGAGAACAAGAGAAGAGAAAATAATAAAACAAAGCCATTTGTCATTTCTCCCCATCTCATCGCCTCCAGAAAAGAAACGCCACAGGGTTTTGGGAAAATAATTTTAAAGCCTCTCCAGTTCCAAAAAGCAGTTTATGTTCCATCAGGAAGTGTGTTTTCATTAACTCTTCCCCCTTGCCCTCTCATTAATATCTCTCTGGACCATGTTCAGCTTGCCCAAAACCTTTATTTATAAAAACTACCTTGTGAATTGACCGTGCTCATGGTGAGCTGAGCACCAAGGGCAAAAATGTGAGACACTTATGCCAACGGGGAAATGTTCTTAATTAACAGCACCCCCAAAACACAGCTTCTCACCAAGGTCTGACAAGAACATATCCTTAAATTGTATTTCCTTGTGCCTTTTAAGAGCTATTAATTTTTGAAGGCCACCTGTCTCTTTTTTGTCTTCCAACATTAAGAAAATATACACTAATAGGTTCTTATTCATTGCCTAAAATATATTTAGTGTTCCAAAATGAATACCCTACCACTGCCATCCTGGAAAAGGTGTAGAAAACAGATTTCAATGAAAGGCACAATACATGTAATCTCATCAACAGGTAAACCTGGTTTTTCTGCAGTTCTCCTCCCTAACACCTCTAAATTTACGCCATCTTATACTGTAAAAGATGGTATGAAAGCCTGCTCATATTTCTCAGGTGTGCTTTATACTTAGTCCCTACCTAACATTGCTATTGCCTGTATTCAGTGCTTCACAATCTAGCAACATTTTCCATCTCATTTCTACATCCTTTCATTCTCACCATGCATGCTGGTGAACTGCAACAATCATTTTTTTGTATAGTACTTTGCTAAGTCAGAGAAAGAAATGGTATAAAACCAGCAACAAAGTGAAGCTCTAACTCGGGGAAAAATTAAGCTTTGACATCAGGAGTGGACAGGTCTACCATTTTATTCCTAGCATATTTTTTCTTTTTTGCTAGTAACTACAAACAGCTTTGCCTCTATTTTGAATAGGTACCTCAAAATATTTATGTTACTCATTCATTGTTCTCAACTCTGCCCTGTAGATTCACTTCATTAGAATCCAAATCATAAAAACCTTTAAGCATTTATATGTCTAGGCACTCCTTAAAGAAGCTTGAAATGCCTCATCAGCAGTGGTTGGTTAGTTTCCAATTAAAGAGTTTGACTTTTATTCTTAAAATGGTTATTCTATGTAGCTTCCCATATTAATAAATTAAAGTGCACATAATTTCATGTAATTAACACTAAGAAACAGAACATACAGTTAAAATTACCTCATAAACTTGAGCAAGGGAACCTTTTCATCAAATATGAAATCAAAAATGCTGCATCAAAATATGGCAGCATAATTTTAATGGTTAAAAGTTTTCAAATATTTGTCATCCACCCACCTCTACCACCGCACTAAGAAAATGCATTACAGAAGACAAAGAAATCTATTATTTTCCCCGAGATTTTTGAAGCTTGCTAAATTCCTATTTGCAGATAAATGTTGTTTTTTTTTTTTTTTTGGTGATCCTTACTACAGACATTAATGAAGTTCCTATTGTAAATCCATAAAGAATTACCAAGTGAAGTGTGCACTTTTTGTTTCAATGCAATAACTCAGTGCTGTGTGATTGCCTGGGTTAATGATGAAAAAGTCAAACATACTATCAGAGCTGATGGAAAAATCTATCACCAATCTGAAATTAAAATTCATCTGTGGTCAATAAGATTTAATATCCATGCAAGTGGCGCTGTAAAGAGTAAATGAATCAATGTCATCAATACATAATCAGTATGAAATATGATGTGAATAAAATTATGCACACGAGTCACACATTTCACTCTTTTCTGGGCCAGTGTGGAATGAACAGTCTCTTAACTGAAGGTTGACAGTAATTGTTACAAATTAGGCACAGCAGTTATCAAAATGCACTCACTTGCATAGCTATAGGACTTATTAAGGAGATTAAAATAGATCTGAAACTATCCAGTACTGGGGGTGCTGGACAACTGTTGATCACCAATTTTTCCCTCTGGAATATCTTCTAATACTACATGACTTGTATATTTGTATAATTTCCTAATTTTTAATTCTGGTACAAGGACTTTCAAGTTGTGGATTAAGAATCAAGATACATAATCTTTAATGGCACTATTAATGGCACTAAGCAGGTTAGCAAAAACAAGAACTTGGTTTTAAATGTCATAACTTCTTCAAATGTTATGGTACCACCAAAGAACAAAAATGCCCTCCCATGGAATTACAGAATGTTTTGTAAAATTACTCTTCCAGAAGTAAATGAATCGTAAATTGGGTTTGGAAAGGCAGGTGTCCGGATTGCTATTCCTAATGCAGAAATCATTCTTTCATGACAAAGATCTTTATTCTCTTTGCCTACCATAAATGTTCTAATTTTCCTCCCACGATAACGTATCACATCACGTTTCTGAATTTCAAAATTGTCAAATGGAATAAATAACCAGTTATATGGAAGCTTTACATTTTGTTTGCTTTTGCATGTGATAATCTTATGTTCAATGTTGAGTGAAGCTACAGATATAACCAAGTCAGGATGTATTTTTTTTTAAACTACAAAGGATTCACAATTTAATCAGCTATCCTACTTCTGAACACTCTATGTACAACTAGTAATCTACATTTCTTTAAAAGGGCACACAAAAATACAACCACCCCAGAAAACTCTCTTGCTAGGTTAAGAGGTTGAACCTTCCAACTTGCTGTAATAAAGCTTATTAGTAATTGCTGGGTATTCACCTTCTGGTCTGGCAGTAGTGGATTGCTCTGAAGTGAATTCAAATGGCCATTGATGAGAGCTGTAGGTCTATCATGTTCACAAAATAAACTGCCATTGATGTAGTGAAACCGATCTCCCGGGACCAGGCGATTCCGGCAGGTAGAGCATGTAAAACACTGAAAGGGAAAAACAAACCCACTGAAAACAAGGTACAAATTAAGTATTTTTTTGGTCACAAGTTTATACTGGTTTTTAAGCAGGTATCTGTCAAGTACAAAGGCACTTAGGGTTTAGCGTTTTTTCTTCCTTCGACAGAACTCCAGAAAACAGCCAAACTGCTATCAATTGGACCAGGCTAAATGAGGACAAATCCAAATACGTGTGTATTTCTGTCTGCAGCATAGGGGAAGTGTGGTCTGTGCATGTGGATGTGTAACAATCACTGCCATGCTACAATTTCCATCATTCTTTTAAGTGTCTGCAGCTTGAGAAAACAGTTCACACCAAGGAGAAATGCTTTGTCCCCACGTAGGTAGGAAAGGTATGATTTTTTTTTTTAAAGAGATGCAAATACTACCTTAAGATGATACACATTGCCTTGCGCCCTCATGACGAGTTCGCTCGCAGGAATTGACTGTCCGCAAGCGCTGCAAGCACCGCTATTCCCAAATAACCTGAAACAAAGAATGACGGTTGACACCAGTGAATAATCCTAAACCAAAGAAAAAGAAAGAAAAACATCCCAGACTCTGGGTATCCCTTTGGAATGCATTCGACAGAGGCTGAATTCTTAGGCTCAGGCCTCAAATTTTCTGAGTGATTTACATAAACTGGGAAAAAACCTTTTTGGGGGACAACTAACTTCTGCCTACCGCAGAGGATGCCCCAGATCTAATCAAAATATTGACTTACACCTCTAGCAAATACAATTCTGCTCTACACACATTTTATCAGATTACTGGGTTCATCATAAAAAAAAAAAGATACAATTCATGACTGGAGTTTAAATGCATTGTGTCCTTGAAATTATATGAAGAACTCTTTTGTACTTTAATCATATCTTGAGATATGAGTCATCAAAAGGGTTAAGAGGATTTGATTGTATATCTAAGAAGACATCATGCTCAGTGTATTGAAACTCCCGTAAACCTCCATCAGTGCAGACTTTCCATTAGAAACTCTCTGCTATCCAGGTTGATATATAATGTGTATGGGTTAACCTTTTCAATCATGGTGTCAACACTTAAGATTTGCCTCTGCTCATCTCTTTCATCCTAACCTTCTCTCTCTCTTGATAATGAAATGCTTGCTCCAACTTCCCTCTATCTGCTCCTGAGTCCACAATTTAGATTACTTCATCTCTGCTAGCAACAAACTGAATGAAATTTCGATTTGAGCAGAAAGTAATTTACCGGGATCTGGACCCATTTGTCATCATATCTCTCTGGGTGTTTGCTGTATCACTGCAGTTTTCCTATGCAATCAAATGAGACCACAACATCTGCCATGGGGGGAGGAGGGGGAGAAGGAAAAGGCTGCAGAGGAGGGGAAAGCTCAAGGAAGTGTGGTGTACTGAAGAAAAACATATACATAATTCCTTACATCCTTCTACAAGCACAACAAAATATTTTAATAACTACCGAACTTGGGCTTTTATGGAATCTGTAGACTCAACCTGGGAAGCTTTATTTGCTTTTGGGCTTCCCTCTTTAATATCCACAAATATTTATTAAACAGACCAAAATGATTTCACACTGAAAGGTGGTGTCGGAACAAGTAACCAGAGTCAGAGAGGCAGCTTTCAAAAACGAAAAACAAAGTAAGAGGACTTACACATTAACATACTGGTGTCATAATAAATATTAACATTTGCATTTCCTCCTTGTCCAAATAAAGTCATAAAATGCAGTCTGTGTCAAACCAGGAAACATGTTCCTATAGAACACCCCGTAATCTGAATGATTGCAGCATGCCTCTATATAAAAATAATTGCTTTGAGTTTTCAGAATCTGGTCTTGCAGAAGAGGCTTGTCATGTTCAAACTACTAATTTGCTGTCGCCACTTTATTGAAAATAGCCTGTAAGTTGTTATTAAATGTATTGACTGAACGACAGGGAGAGTAGTAAAACTGCCCCTTAAGATGGCTTTTAATAGGAAGCCTGAGAAACAAATTTTGCAGCAGCATCGATTTGAAGAGTTCAATCAAAACTCCATTTCAAAACTAATTAGTCTGAGATCCACGACACATTGACACGTTCTTGCAGAATCAGAACAGTTACAGAAAGAAAGCTGAAATAATACACTATCAGGACCTCTAGCCGTAGGACTGCACCATGTGGGAGCTTGGGGGGCCTCTGGGCTGCTGTCTCCTAATGCTGGACACACTTCAGGAACACTGATGAGGACCTCCCGGTGTCTCACCTGCAGTACCACTGCCGCAGGGGAGTTCTCAGAAAGGGAAGGTAGCCAAAGAATTGGCATGGTCCTGAGGAAAGCATTTATGGACCGCAGTAGTGCTATTCCAACCCCCAAGAGGGATACCAAATTCAAACAATTTGGGTAAAAATAAAGTTTAAAACCAGTCCATGTGGCCAAATACATGCTGAGGATAAGAGAAGACAGGTAATGGGGGTAGAAGGGGGTGACACAATCCTAACAAGGCTAAAGTACAAATATCCTCTTACAGTAACCCTAAGATATTTTAATGGGTAAGAGTCTATAATTATGGTTGCCACTACCAACAGGTACACGGTGACACTCCATCTCAAAAATACCCTTTTCACAGTACCCATCTGATTACTCAGCCTAAGTGTTCATTTATTTAACAATTCACCCTGAGTAAAGTCAGTTGTAAGTCTTAACATCTAAGTGTATTTTAATAATCAGGGCAGTCATATGTAATCCAAAAGCCTTTCATATATCTTATTTTTTCCAGGGCTGCTACCATAACCTTTCAGAGAACAATCAGCCACAAAATGGTGGGATTCCTAAAGTGCCAAAAATTACAGTTCCAAAGTTTGAAATGTCCAAGATCTACCCAGGACTGATGTGCTATTGAACAACGTATCAATGGAGTTTAAGATCTTTCCATGCCTACAGCTTTAAGGCTGCCTCAGAGCAGAACAACTTACATGTCTATACACATTCTAATCCCCTTTTACCAGAGAGGAAGGCTACCATTAGAATTCCACCCTTTCTCTGAAAAGTTGGGTGTGCGTGTGTGTGTGTGTTTTTACAACGTTTCTGTGCGCTGGAGAGTTAATTATCTAACCAGGGGGACTGTCCAGGACAGTGTTTGATTTAAAAGGCTCGAGGCTTTAGGTGCTCAATTAAGTAGCTATCGGTCTCAGACTGGACTATAATGGGCTCTTTTCTCTTTAACTCAAGCAACGGGGAGATATACCCCAGGTCAGGCTAATTAAAGCCAGGGGAGTCTTTAATTGTGATGACAGAATCGGTTTCAGTTTCCTTTCTTTGGGTCCTCAGTCCAAGAAGGTCGTTAATATTTCAGCATTTGGGCAATGCAATCAATCACAAACATCAAGAGGTTCCTTATATAGGGAAAATGGAAGAGATGGTAAGAAATCCCACCAAACCAACTGCCTTTAAAGGTGCTTTGCTCCTATTTGAACACCACCATGTAGTTTTATTCCTGTTTGCCCGCTCAGCTCCAGCTCTCCTTGCTGGCATTAAGAGATGGAGGGCAAATCGTATTTTTAGTTTATTATCAATGCTTAGCATCTTTCAGTAACTTCAATAACCAATAGGTGGGCTTATTTTCAACTCCATTATTACTTCAAGCAAAATACACGCAATATGAAACGCTACCTGGCTGTGTTTTCTAAACTGCTTTTGGGCAAGGAGAGGTACGTTTCTAAGAGTGTGGCTGAAAGGTATACATTTGTACCTGCAAGTAAATATCAGCAACCTATCTGAGGAGAAAAAAGCACATCCACAGCTACTGATCCAGAAGCAATTGGTTTTCCAGCAGGTTCCTATATTTAATCTAAATTCTGCACTAGCTATATTAAATGTAACAAAGAAATGCAACCCAGAAATTACGCCTGGAGCCAAGTCCATTAAAGGTACTTTGGAATAACTAGAGACCAGGCACCTTAAAAGCACCAGAAGCTATTGATACTTAAGAGGGGGGCTGTGCATAATCGCAACTGCTGCATTAGAGAGGGGAGGGAGAAAAAAAAAAAATCAGCCAAATTACGCTTGGTTAATTCAGAGTAACAGATCTGCCCCCAAGTGAATTGGAGGCCTTGAATTAATTCTGTTATGACAAATCAAGATAAACGTTCCCCCTAAATTGCATGCGATTTAATTAATTTTTGAGATCCTGGGTTTTTTTTTTTTTTTCTTCCTAGCTAATAGTTCACATGCTCCTGTGCTGTCATTGTGCTTGAGTGGGCAGACTTCAAAGTGATATTAAATAACCAACTATTAGATTTACCTAGCACGTCCTATTGGAAAAGTGCCATTTAATTACCTAGCCTGTTCAATTAAAGGGACAGCATTCTCTGAATATAGCAGCTTGCTGTTGATTACCAGGGAAATGAACTCGCTGTCTGGCGGCGCCTCCATTCCTAACGCCACCCCCTCCCCAAACACACCCTCCACCACCAACTACCAATTCTCCCCACCCTCGCCCCAGGCCACCGCCCCCGACCGCTCCGGGTTCACTGCGGCTGCGGGCGCCACGTGAACCGCCCGAGCCCAGCCCGAGGAAAGAAAGCGCGACCCGCTCGCCGGGCTCCCGCCCTGCGCTCGCCCCCTCGCGGGCCCGAGACCGCCCGCCGGCTGGGCGCTCTGGGTGCGGCCTCGGGCGGCGCCGGCCCGGGCGCGGGCCGCTGAGCGAGCAAGGGCCCGCCGACGACCGCCACCCGGGCTTCCGGCGCGTTTCCTCGCCCTCCCAGGACCTGGAGCCCCACCCGTCGGTCTCCGAACTTCCTCCTCTCGCTGCACTTTCCGCGCCAGTCTTCGGGCCCGAGGTGGGGGGGTGGAGGAAAGAGGGTTCGAGGAAGAGAAACGGAGTTTCCGAAGCTACGTGGGGCGCTTGGGTGGAGCTGAGGGCTCGGGAGCCGGGGATGGGGGAGGGGGCAGTCCCAAGGTTCCCCCACTTTTGTAAGATGGGGGGGCCAGGCAGGCGTTGGTCCCTTTAAGATTCACCCTCCCCCTCCGCTCTACAACCCCCCCCTTCATTCTTTCCCTCCCTCTCTTAGAGGCCAATTTTGTTAATTAAATGTTTTGTTTGCGACGCAGCTCTCATTCATTGCGGACACGTCATTCGGAGCAGATCTAAGCCAGAGACCAGATCTCATTAGATAAAGCCCATCAGAACTAAGAAAATGGAGGAGCCACTAATTAAAGCTTTTAATTGTGCGGATTCGCTGCAGCAAGGCAGCCGCTTTATCTGAAATCTTGGAGGGCGAGGAGGCAGAAGCCCAGCTCTGCCCATCGACACTTGGCCGCGGAGGGGGAGGGGACTGGTGAAAGCGCCCCCTCCTCTTGCAGCCCCCTCCTCCGCGCTCAGGCCTACCTTTCCCGCAGGCCTTTCCCAGCTCTCCCGCAGCTTTTCAGCAAGACCTTGGTTGTTTTCAAAAAATCACAACCTCAAAGTCAAGACAGTTTAAAAGCCCCTCAGTAAATCGCTATGTGGTCTCAGTCGGACCAAGGGGTCCCCTTCACCTGGCGGCGGGCGAGCAGATTACTCCACTCGTCTGCAGCGATCCCTGCGGCATTGAAAGCTCCTCCAACAAGTGGACTTGAGGGACACTGGGGAGCGGGTAGCTGAGAAGAACAGGAACGTCTGCATCTTCCCACCTTCCCACCCTCTGGGCATCTTGATGGGCTGAGAGGAACACTGAAGGAAGACTTCAGTAATCTCTTAAATTGGAGGGGAAGGGGGCTCACAGCTGCTGGTGAACCCTGAGCAAACTATGAGGCCATCAATTTGGTACTGAGCTAGAACTCATCTCTCCTAGAAAGATCTAAGGTCCTCGGGGTAGCATGTAGTTCAAGGGCGAGCCTGGCTCCAGTTTCCAGATTCAGAGGGGAAAAAAGGAAGAACGTAGATCCGATTAATTAAGGCTCAGGGCTGGGCACACATCCTCCATTGCTCCATTAGGGCACAGGAAAACACCAAAAGGCCATTTACATTTGGCCCCAAGAATAGAGAAAAGAATGGACACAATTCCCAGGAAGCCACTTGCCTGAACTTGTCCTGGGGGAATACAAGTGGACCCATCTTCTTTTTAACTAGTTGTAATCAGAAGCGAGGGGTTTTTTGGGTTTTGTTTTTGTTTTTGTTTTTTTTTTTTGAAGGCACTTGGAGAAGAGATGAATCTGTACCATTCACGGAATCTTAACAGCACTGTCAATTTTTCCACTTCAAGCCACACTCCTTTCTTACCACAGTTTTGCTTTCTATTTAATTACAATACTGTCAAAGCTCATGGCATTACTTGGAAGGAGGACCAGAAAACATTACACCCATGTTCCCGCTGATTTTCCAACATTTACCTCTAAAAGAACACTTAGTGAAATTAATGCTGCCATCTTAATTTAAAAATAAAAGCCCTCTTCCTTCCTATATTTCTTTTACTTGACTGATTGAGGATGCCAGCAGAGTGGACACAGGTTGCATTATCAAAATAACTAAATGTCATTTTACTCCATCATCTTACAACTAATGATATCACTGGGGTAAACGTATCCACACTCAGCTCTGAACTACACTGGCATCTTCTGCAATGTTAGGCGCAGAATAAGGCGAATCACAATGGAGCTAAACTTTGAACAAAATATCTCATCCACTGATTTACCCACACTGAAGAAAGAAGAAAATTTTCTACTAATCACTTCAAAGACAAAGGTTTAGGACAAATTTACAAAGGATGAAATTCTTCTTAAAAGTGTGCGGTTTTCTAGTATCAACTGTGTGCGTGTGGGTTTTTTTTTTTTTTTTTAATTACTGGATGTTGAAACAGAACACCTCCTAGAAGCATTCATGTGCATCAGTCTATCAAACCATTTACTCAAATTAAATGTGTAATCCTTCAAATGCCTCCTTTCAAATTAATGAGTTTAAGTAGCTTGAGTTCACCTGAAAAGATCCTATAGGCACCTGACCTCCTGAATTCTTTCCATTAATTGCACTGCAACTTGTTGGAAAAGACTGCTTACATGGACATATGAATGTTCCTATACATTGCTTTAAAATGCAAGATTAGTATAATTCTATAGCCTCTTTTTCTAAATCTCTTTTGGGGATCAAGGGCAGTGATACAAACGACAACAAAAAACCCAAAACCTGAACATACTTCAACTGAAAAAAACTGCAAATTCTACATCGCAAACCACACACTAACTGAATTATTGCAAGCCTCCGAGTAACAGTATGAAGAGAAACATTATCACTAGGTTTTATTTCTTGGGGCTTTTTTTCTCTATAAGAAGAATTACAAGTCTTTAAACTGATGGATAATTAGCATTTTTCTCAAGGAGCACAAAGAATGAATCACAGCTTTCCACTCAAGAAAGTTTAAAAATGCTCATGTAAATATCGTAATAAGCCATCACTACAGACAAATCATTTCTCACTAACTACACTTGTATTTTTAAGTCAACCTTTGTCTCCGAGTTCCTCTGTGAGTTCCCACCTTGTTTTAAGAACGCACCTTAACTACCACTTGAGATGTTTGCTTTTAGCCTGTAGTCCAGTAGAGGCTGACCACTTAAACTCTGGGACCAGAGGGTGCTCAACCTTTGTGCATCTAATGACCCAGTCCCACCAGATGGTCTTTACTTAGTATGGCATTTGCCATTAATTTCCCATCAGATATTGGAAGACTTAACAACATGCTTCCTGAACCCTTTAAATTCCGCCAACTAAAAGATTTTTGAGGTGAAGGCTGCCATGTATTGCCATAGGTGCCTGCTCCTTTCCTCACAACCCTGTTAACCTTTGGCCTTGCCATTGCTCTGCTCGCCCATCCCCAGGAAAGGCAGCGAAGTCTTACCTAATGTAGTCATTTCTGCAAAGGATCATGCCGCTTTTGGTGTAACAGGACGTGCCGATGTCGCCCAGCTGCGCCTGGCAGCAGGAACACTTGAGGCACCGGCTGTGCCAGTAGCTGTCCATGGCATAGAGCAGAAAGCGGTCCGCAATCTTGCCCCCGCAGCCTGCGCACCGCTTCCAGGAGAGGGAGCCGGCCGTCACCGGGGGCGGCTGTGAGCTGCTGCCCGGATTCACCATGGTCTGCAGAGGGCGGGAAGGGGACAGGGAGAGAAAGACAAAACAGGGGCGATGCAAAAGTTAGTAATCGCCGGAGAGCGAGCAAGCCCATTCCCCTCCTCCCCCCGGAGCTGCTGGAAGGAAACAGCAGGGCAAGGGCGGGAAGGAGGCTGAGAGGGAGAGGGAAGGAGGGAGGCTCGCCGGCAGCAGCCGCCTGTTTACTTTTCTCAAGCTTTGTTCTGGGGCCACGAGCTCCTCTCAACTTTCCTGCGCTTGCCGCCGCTGACAATTTCAGCTCCGGTACTGTCAAAACTCCGAGAGCAGGCTCCGCCGCGCGCTCCACCCCTCGCGGCACCTCCTCCCAGCCCCCGCCTCCGCCCACTGCCCCCCTCCTCCGCCGCCCGCCTGCAGCAAATGAGGGTCAAACCCACCCACCGCCGTGCCCGGCCCCTCCCCAGCCCCCGCCGGGCCCCGGGACAGAGTCGAGGGGAGTGGGAAGGCGACGGCCCCGCCGGAGCCTCGTTCCCTCCCGGGCTCTGCCCTGGGAAGTGCAGCAGGAGTTCACAAGTTGGAAATAGTTCGGTTTTCCGAAAGGGAAGGAGGGAGGGACCGGCAGACGGAAGATGGAGAGCGGGTGGTGGGAGGGAAGGCAAGGTGACGGCAGAGGGGGTGCAGTGTGTAAAGTTGCGAAACTGGTTTTTCGTATTTTAAGCAGCACCTTTCACATGCCATTGTGGTGACCGCCATCTCCCATTATTGTTCCAAATCTCATTTCATTTTGAAGATCAATGAGTGTTTTCTCTGGGTTTTCAGGACACAGGCAAGAATAATAGATCATTGAACTTTAGGATGCCTGTTAACTTCCTATACAAACACTCTCCACTTTGGTCTCACTAATCTGCCCTTGATCAGCAATTTAAATGCTAAAGCTTTGTTCCTCCAAAGGGGGGGGGGCGGCGTTACAGATAACGTGCGAGAAGGCAGCATTAAGGGATGCACAAGTTAAATTCGAGCCCGTTCTGCTGTCACCAAAAACTGCTTTAAAAAAGAATTCCCCACTCTAATGAATGCCACAAGAGATGCAACTGGGATATAATATAGGAATCAATTTATAAAGCTTAGCCTAAACCGATTAATTTGTTGCCTTCAATTCCGAGTCCAATAAAGTCCTAGTGTTCCTCTAGTCACTTATTCTATAAAAAGATCAAGTTATTTACTGCCAATTAAGCAGCCTGTTTTGTCTTTGTCCTCTGTAAGCTGAGAGTGTGGGCTCCCCCTGAGGCTCCCGGCTATCTGCTCAAGACATTCAGCTGATACCTCAGAAGAAGGCGAACTTTGCCTGTCCCCGGCCCAACTTGGCTGCTGCAAAAAAACGAGGAAGGAACGAACGAAACAGGGACTCGGGTTCCTTAAATAGGCCGATTTTAAACACATTTCCTCCGAAAGAGTCCCGGAACGTGTGTCCAGTGACCGCACAATAAACCAGAATAAGAACTGCACCAATTAAGCTGTAACAAAACCCTGAGACTTTGGAAACAGGACCACTCTAAAACCCATTAGCATTGCATTTATCCGAATGCATCATACCTTTATGTAAATTGATTTATCTGATGCATTTACTCGAGGAATTGCTTTTTGTTACAATTTCAGCCCTAACCCAAATGAATCTGCATTTCCTGCCCTAGGTCTTTAAACTGTTTCCCCCAACGTTTTAATCGCTCCAAATTCCTTTTTAAAAGGAGAGAGGGAGGAGATTCCAAGCTCTTCCCCGCCCCCATCTTTAGTGAGAGGTAAATATATATGTATTTTTTTTTTTTTGAAAAGGAAACATTACACTGAGAAAAGCATCCAGTAACCCCATTAGCTAAAGCTCTTAAGGACAAGCAATACCTTAATGCTGATTAAATCTAAGAGATGAATCAAGAGGACTGACCAGAAACTGACTCCCCTGATAACTAAGGACGGGCCCTCATCAAGTTTCATTTAGAGTTGGAAAAAAAAAAAAAAAGAAGAAGAAGAAAGCTTTTAAGTTAAATAGGCTTATACTCTAGTAATTACATAGCCAAGCAATTTAGGTCCTGGGATAGTCAGTGAAATAGAAAGCAGAACTGGCAGCTAGAGGCAAAATCTGCCCCCCTTTAACAACGTCTCTGGTGTTTTTTAATGGAGACCAAGGGAGGGACAAACGTAACGCTGGCAATTTGTAGTACAAAAATGGATGCTTAATTCATGTCTTGATTTTAATTAGGTGATTCACCGTATTTCTCCTGGATTGTAACAAAAGACTTATAAACCAAGAGGTTTTAAAAAGAACCAGCAATACCGAATCCTGCTCACTTAGACCCTTCCTGCCACTGTTTCAAAATTAGTGTTTACTAGAAGGGGGGGGTATCGTGACTATCCCCACCCCCACCCCCCCAAACACACTACTTCTCATACTTAAAACCTAATCTAAGCACCCCTTGCCCTTTCCCTCATGAACTAGAAATATCCCCACCCCCTCTATGGTCCCCACCAGCCCCGTTTCCAAGAAGAGCCCTTTTGTAAGCAGGAACCGCTACAAAGCTGGCGGCCCGGGGCTGCCCTCCGCGCTAGCTCGCAGGCCGGCCTCGGTAGTTTCAGACTCGCGCTTTATCTAAGGCGACGTATTGTTTACTTGCAATTTGGGACGGTAAGGGGAAGGAAGCCAAAGAAAACAGCCCTGGCCCGAATCGGCCCCCTCCCTCTCTCTCCCACCTCCCGGCCCGCGGCTCCCCCAGCCGCCCCCCTTACCTGCTTTTCCCCTATATTGCAATATTGCAAGAGGCGGCGGCGGTGAAATGCGAACGAAGCCGCTCGGCTTCCAGGGAAGGGGCGCCTGGGCTGGCGGAGCTGGAGGGAGGGAGGGAGTTCTCGCAGAAGCAGGAAAGGGGAGGAGGGGGCTAAGGGCGGCTTTTTTTTTTAAATCGCGTTGCTCTGGGGCGGGTTGGGGGGCCCCCGCGTAAGTGGCAGGCGGCCGGGAGCAGAAGTGTCAGTCTCAGTCTTCGTCCTTCTCCTCCGCCTCCGGCTGCGCGCGAGCAGCTGCAGGAGCCCTCGGCCCGCGCGACGCGGCTTCAGGCGCGGTGCAGCGGCAGCAACTGCTGCAATCGCTGCTGCAAGTTTGGCAATGTGGCTTCACTTTGTATATTCCCCCGCCCGGCGGCCCCCGCCCCCGCCCGCGCTCCTCGCGCTCCTCCCGCTCCTCCTCCTCCGCCGCCGCCTTCCTCCCTCCCGCGCGCTCGCTAGCTCGCTCGCTCGCTCCGGGCTGGCAGCGGCGGCTCGACTGAGCTCCCTGCACCTCCGCCCGGGAACAGCCGCAGACACAGAAACCCCGGGAGCGGCGGCGGACGGTGCGGAGGCCGGCAGGCAGGCGCGCCCAGGAGTCGGGAGCTGCGGCCGGCCGGGCCCGGCGCGCTGGAGCCTACGCCGCTGCCGGGGCTGTTGCCGGGGCTGCTGCTGCCCGGCGCTGAGGCGGAGGCGGAGGCGGCGGCGGAGGCGGCGGCGGCGGCGGCGGCGGCGCTGGCCTCTAGCCGGCTCGCTCGCTCCCTCCGCGGCTCTTACACATGTGTTACTGACAGAGCAAAATCCCAACTACTCCCCGGCTCTGCCTCCGACGTCAGCGACCCTCAGCCACTGGGCGGCCGGATTGTTCAGGCGGAATAATAAAACCTGCCAATCCGGGGAAGGACAAAGGGATGACTGAAACGAGACTCGGGGGGCGGGGGAGAGAGTGAGGCGGCGGAGCGGGCCGACAGAGGAGAAGGGAAGGGCCCGAATCAGGTGGGGAGAAGTGACCCGCTTGGCGCCTGGCGCCGGGGACCCGCTTGGGCTGACCTTCGCGACCCGGGATCCGGAGCCGAGACCCGGTGGGGCAGGGGGGCCTCACCTGCCTTCTCTGCGCACGGGGACCCTGAGGACCCGCGCCCGCTCGCTCCTCGGGGACTGCCATCCCCTCGATCTGAGAGGAGACCCTTAGGAAACTTACCATCTTTCTCAGAAATGGGTCTCTTTCTGTTTGGGAAGATAAGTCCTGCATCTTAGGGCAGTGAACTTCTATCCCCTCACGCACACGCACACAGAAGAGGATTTTTGTTGTTGTTTCTTTAATTCACGATATTGGAGATTTATGAACCGTAGTGGAAGCTTAGTTAACAAGGTAGAAATATAAAGGAAATAATAGTTGCTAGCTAAATACTGCCTACTTAGCCTCCCTCATCCCCCATTTACCCGAGTGTGAAAGTGCCTAGCAGGCATTTCTTGGATCCTTGTCAATTGCTGGTGATGTAGGGAGCACAGTCCTTATTTTCAAAGTTGACGAAAACTTCAGGGAGAAAACCTTGCCCGACTACCCTCCTCACTGTGGAGGATGAGAGGCGGAAATTCTCACAGCCCCCAAAAGCAATGGAAGTAATTGCGAGATTTGCAATCTCACAGCCTCTAGAGAGTAAGAAATGTCACTTCTAGTATAAATCAAGTTTTGAGGAATGCTTTTAGGGTGCTGGCCTGAGTTTTTCCAAGGCCGAAGCACAGCCTAGATGCTTGCATACCTAGGCGTTCGACTTTATCTACTCTGCCAAATAAGTTTAATAAATCTCCAAACTGAGGCTAATATTAGGCCTGATTATTGTTAGTAAGTTCCAGAGAGATTTTTGTGGTGGAAATTATCATGAAAGTGCAAAGCCCTTCTGCTAAGTATCATTAAGTAAAACCAGCCTTGTGGGGCAAGTTTTCATATTACTGCTAGATTGAGGAAAGGAACCTGAAGGAGAATCAGGCGAGACAATGCAGATGTTGAACATCTATAGTGTCTATTTGGGGGATTTCTGTCTTTCAAACCATCAAAATTAATAAGGCTACATAAGAAAGAATAATTATTGCTCATACAATCATGTAGAGGGCATTTTAAATATCAATTCAAATAGTCATTTTTTAATTCTAGCGTCTTAAAACTAAATGAATTAATTTTATTGATTTGTATTTAAAATTGCACTGTTACAATCAATTCACCTTGTGCACATATAAAAAACTTTTAAAAAAAAAGTCATTAAAACTATAATAGTAATTAACATGTCCTACACAGAAAACAGCTGCAGGTGGGCATGATTAAAGAGGACCAACTTAGAAAAGATGTAATGCTGCTTGAAGGTTAGTCAAGAAAACTCAATTAAACCAGATGAGGAGAGGAACCCCATAAACAAATAATACATTTGAATCCCCTTGTTCATTTTCACTTTTTAAATAATTTATAATAAAGCGAGATGACACAAGATCTTAGTGGACTACAATTAAGTTATGATTTGTCATGTTGCAAGTAAATTTCTTTCTCTAGGCCTTAATTTTCTCATCCACAAATGAGAGAATTAAGTCAAATGGTCTTTATTTTTTCTTTTTTAAAGTGATTTTCTTAGATAGGACACATATGCATAGATGTATAATGAATTGTGGTACTTTTCAGTATTTTTCCTGAAGAATATGCACTAAAACGAAATCTTAATTCCTGAAGGGAATGTTAGAAATTTAACCAGACACATGTTCAGCTATCACTGAGTGATTATCCAAAGGATCCCGGTAGTGTTTGTGGAAGGAAGGAGAGTGAGATGGATAAAACTTTGAATAACAGAGCTCTAGGCTACAAGGCCTACATTTTAGAAGGTGGTTTTAGTGCTTCAGCTCTAATTCTTGCGGAGTGAGGTCTTTAAACATGTCCTGGTAGATTGGAGTGGATGGGAGTGTATTACCTGAGAGCTTTATTTGCTGATGTGTGTTTATAGAAATACAAAAGCGATAATGGCTAACAGTCTCTCTTCTGAGAGGTGGGGAGTAAATACAGTCACTGTAATCAAAATTCAGGTGTACTTTAACCACAGCGCCACCTATGGGTAGTCTTTATTTCTGCATTCTTTGCGTTTAGCAGTCCTTTCTCATCCTGATTTGTGGTCTGAAAGTGCCTGGTTGAGTGGGTAGCAATGTCAATCTTTTATTTCCACTGATGCGAAACACAAAAACTGTGTAAACACACACAAATTCATTATGGGTAAAGAAATTCTGTATTCGAGTATTCTTCAAACAAATATTTAAAACAGTGCATAAAGTAATATTCCTGGTATAAAGTAAAATTGCCTAACTCAAAATAATGTTACATCGTGCCCCACAGTTGAAGCAACCTCTGCTGCTATCACACATTCATCATTCATCCTACTCATCTGCAGTGAGATATAAGAGTAGGGGGCTTTGGAAAAGAAAGATAAACGTAAATTGTTTCTTTCTTGAATCCTAATTAAATGTGGGAACCATACTGCTCCTAGATCAAGCCGTCATTTTCTCCACTTGCCCCAGGATTATTTGTTCATAGCTTCCTTTCTCGTTTATGTCCTTCAATCATAATCATTCTTTTCTCCAAGTGACAGTTCTCTAAGAATCTCCCATGGACAGCCAGAGGTTCTACACAGACCTGTGCAGCCTTTAATGTCTGGAGAAGGTCTAGACTATTTGATGCTAAGATGACCTCCAAGACAACATGCCCCAGCTCTTTCTCAGGAACAAATATTCTGTCCTTTTAAAATCAATGCAAAACCGTTTTTGAAGAATGTCTTTTTAGGAAGGAAATTTTTTAAAAATCTGCTCAACTTTATTGCTGCCATCACAGAGATCCCTTGATATTGAAAGTTTCCTCCAACGTGAATACAAAAAGCTTGAGTCTAGGACAACAATTCCAGAGTGTAAAAGGTGTGGAGAGAAAAGGGAACAGTAGTTACCAACAGGCAAAACCCAAAGAAGAGCAGGTTAGGTCCTGGGCCAGTTTTCTGTGGTGGCATTGTCAGCTGAGCAGTGGGGTGTATGGTACAGTAAGTAGAGTCAGGGACCTGCTGCTTCATTTAAGAATAGGAGTTTACAGGCACAGTGGCCCATGCCTGTAATCCCTGCACTTTGGGGACCGAGGCAGGTGAATCCCTTGAGTTCAAGACCATCCTGGGCATCATGGCAAAACTCCACCTCTACTAAAAATACAAAAATTTCGCTGGGTGTGGTGACAGGTACATGTAGTCCCAGCTGCTGGGGATGCTGAGGTGGGAGGATCACCTGAGCCCTGGAAGTTGAGGCTGCAGTGAGCCATGATTGTGCCACAGCACCCTAACCTGGGCAATGGGAGTAAGGCTCTGTTGCAAAATAATAATAAGAAGAAGAGTTTACGTAGAACTCAACATTTCGAAAAGCCTATATTTCATGGAGCCATATCTTGGCTTTAAAATATTGATAATATTTAATAATACTTTGAATTTACTGACTGCCTTTTTCATCTTTCTCAAAATTATTTATAAATATCTCACTAAATGTTTCATGTGATAAGTGTTTCTGATAGTTGCCTTATTAGAATACTGTTGTTTGTTTTTTGTTAAAGCAATCCAGATAACTACGTTTGGTAAGTATCCCACCAAATTACGTTAATCAGTACTTAGGAAGTTCTACCCTAACTACTCTTTTTAAGGTAATAAACAGGCATAGTGAAGAAGTTGATTTTATGGCAAGAAAATAACAGATCACTGAGGAAAAGGAAACAGCATTGACGATGTGATTGCAAATATAATTTAAGATGTATATTTTGATTTTAATTATTCTATTTGATTAAGGTATTTGAAACTCCTAGAGTTGACGGAAAGGTGAAAACGATAATAGGAAAGAAGAAAACACCTCTGTGAGCCAGCATTTTGGCTGATGTAGCAAGGCTACTTTAAAATAGCGTCATGAAATTACTCATTGTCTTCATAAAAGTTTATTAGCATAGCAACAGAATATTACAAGTCCCCCAATTTGCCTCAGAATGATCAGCAATTTTTTTTTTTTTTTTGAGATAAGGTCTTGGATGGGTCACCCAGGCTAAAGGCTCACTGCAGCCTCAAACTTTGAGCTCAAGCTATCCTCCTACCTCCTCACCCCCTTCACCCCTACCCCAGTAGCTGGAACTACAGGTGCATACCACCACGCCCAGCTAATTTTTTTTGTAGAGACAGGGGTCTCACTGGTTGCCCAGGCCAGTCTTGAACTCCTGGCTGCTAGGGATCCTCCTGCCTCAGCCTCTCAAAGTGCTGGAATGACAGGTGTGAGCCATCATGCTCAGCCCAGCAAATCTTGATATATGAATCTGTTTCATGGCAATGATATTATAGAAAAAATTGTTTGGCTTACTCATACTACCTATTTCTAAGCCTGAATTCTGTCAACAATATTCAAGCACAGTGATATTCTGCATCTATCATTACAAATAAGTTATCAGACTATATGTGTGAGTGTATTATATGTTCATTAAGGTCTTTTAAACGGTCTAGTGGGTCAATAGGCACTGCTTATTAAAGTCAAGTTAAGTCTTTGCATGGATAGATTTAATTTAGTAATAGTTACAAAAGAGAGTGTATAGATGACTGGGCCACTTGTATATATGTGAGGTGGTTATTACTAAGAATATATATTAAAATTATAAATCCAGTGGAAAACAGCAATTCTGTTTAAAATTAATTACTGTTTCTCTCCAAGATGATGGAAATGAGCACTTAGTGATAGAGAAACTAAGGCATTAAGATGTAATTCATTCTCCCTTATGTTCCCACTAACTCTTCTCGGTAAAAGAAAGGCTACTAATTCAGAAATTTCAAGGGCCCGAAACCATAACTTCCTTTGTTACTGTCAGTTCTAATTCTAGTATTGATGTAATTAAGCTTTTTTTCTGTATGGATTTGTAGTAAGATGTATTTTAAAGTACAACATTGGTTTCTATTTGTTCACCA